AAGCTTGCAAAAAGGTCATGCTATAAGTTTTTGTATTGGCTACCGTCAGTTGTGAAGAAGAAAGCTAGTTAAGAAACATAGTTATGCACCGTTAGCGAAAAGAAACAATTCATGTGTTCTTTCATATTTCTGCTAAAAATTCGAGGATGTGGGGGGGGGGGGTGAGTGTGAGTGTGGATGAAGATAAGAGTCATACCCACAACCCACACCCTTACGAGTGACGTTGAGTCGTCCTGTTCTACAGAAAAACAATCATATGTGAGTACCTTAATAATGTTTCACTTTTCAAATATCAGTCACAGATGAACAGCTTCCCAGGACAATGATTCCGGCCTCAGAATCCTTTTGGAACCAGCAGGAACCGCTCTTATTTCCGGTGAATTCCCACCGGTTCCAACGTTATTCCCACCGGAACCCGCAGGAAAAATTTCCGGAACATGGAAGCAGTATTCCGGCCGGAAAATTCCCGTACCCGGAAACAACTCATTCCCACATTTTCCCGCACCCGAAAACCAGGAGGGAATAGCCGGGATCTCAAAAGAAACTGCAAGGAACCTATCCGAACTAACCCAGGAATCCATCATATCCTAGAGGAAAGATGCAGGAGCAATATTGAACCATTCACATTGAGATCTTCGAGGATCATTAATGATCTCAATTCCCGACACACTCAAATTGAGATCTTCAAGAATCCTTAAGGATCAATCTTTTCCAGCATCTCACATTGAGATCTTTGAGAATCCATAGAGATCTTTAACTACTTTTTCAAATACCCTTATTTTGGGGTATTTTCAAGTGGTGTGAATGCGAAATGATAGAAAATCATCTTCTAACAAGTTTTGGAAAATGGATCATTCATTTTCAGCGTTTTCTGAGATTCAACTCTCAATTAAACCCCTCCCCGTAATAGAAGACTCGGGGTCTTCTAATGTGTCCTTGTATGTCAACTTGCTAAGGGGGGTCTTCTATTTCTGGGGGTCTTCTAAACCGTCAGTTGCTAGAATCTTGTATGAAAACAAAGCGAATTCTAGTTTTCATGCTTTATGATAATTTACTTTATTTTCCTTATATACGAACAAAATAAATATTACACACAAAATGAGTATTGGACACAAAATAAATATTGCACCCAAAATAAATATTACATACAAAAGACTGCTACATTTTATTTTTTCCACATATTGAACAATGTTAGTTGTTTTGATCGTGTTGCTAATGACTGAGTGTGTTGTTGTTGTTGTTCTGATGCTTTATCAGCGACAATATCGATACGATCTTCTGTATCGTTATCATCATTGGTTGACGATTCCCAGTCAGCTGAACTTGGATCAAATGTGTAGCCAGGCATTGTACGAAGAGAAAATGGTGAATTATCTGACCAGATATAACCAATATTTTGAAAGGCTTTAACAAAATCGATACTTTTTAATGTTCGTAACCATGCAGACCATGTAAATCT